TACAGAATAAATATGTTACTTCATTTCTATTTTCATTCTAATCGATAATATTTAGGTTACAATTCCATGGAATAAATCTTGAGAAAAAAATAAATGATCTACAAGATAAACAAAACTAGAAATTCGTAACACAATTGTCAATCGAATCTAAGGAACGAAAAAAGAAACAAAAGGAGAAGAAAAAATAACACACATATCGAGTAAACCTCACCCCCACCCCCCCTCCCGTTGCCCCGTGAACAATATTTCATCAGAAAAACCACCCCTGTTTGTAAACTCAGGATGCATACACGCGTACGATCGCTAAACGTTAAGGAGCGTTTATGTTCATAACATGAAGGAAGCATACATATGAAAAAAAAAAGAAAAAAAAAAGAAAAAGAAGAATAATATCGATCGATGATGTGTGTGTCGGGTTCATACATTACACTTTAAATGACGCAAACTTTCTTTCCCTATATATATATATATATATTAAAAAAAAAAAGAAGAAGAAAAAAAAAAGAAAATTCGATCGATGACGTTGAAAGAGGGTGAACGGAAGAGATGGGGATGTTGAAATAAGGTAAGAGTGGAAACTGGCGGTGTAGGGGTGGGGAGGGGGGTAAGTAAAGAGAAGTTTATCGTTGAATGGTGGAAAATCGAAAATTTGAAATTCCCTTCACGTGCATTTCTTCTTCTTCTTCTTCTTGTTGTTCCCTCCTGCGACTTTCGAATCTCGTTCTCGACGCGTTGGCATTCTCGGGGCCAATGAGGAGAGATCAGCTATGTTAGTCGACTAAGAGGAAGAAAAAAGGAAGCACCACGCCCAAGGTACGTGGCAGGAACGCAGAGAGATGACTGTGTGTTAACCCTCTCCTTTTTTCTTTTTTTTTTATTATTTTTTTACTTTCTATGTGTGTATAAGTGTACGTTGAACGTATTTTGCGCGTACCAACAGCAACAGCAACAACAGCAGCAGCAGCAGCAACAGCAGCAGAAGCTTTTCTTCTCTTTCTTTATTTCTGTTCAATTCCGTTCCGTTCTGTTCTGTTCCGACACGAAACACGCTACCACGTCCTCAAATTGAAGCTTTCGGTTGAAAAAGAGATGCGTGACCTCAACTCGATCCGTTCTTTCGGTTTTTTTCGGTTGCTTTTTTTGTTTCTTTTTCTTTTTATTTGCTTTTCATTTTTTTTCGGTATCTTTTTGGTTACTTTTTTGTTTTTTTTTCTTTATTTTTTATTTTATTTTTGGATAGGTTATACGTACTTGAAAGTAAAATGAAAGGTTATACGAAAAGTGGGAATGGAGGAAAGAAAAAAGGTGGACGAGGATGATGGAAGGGTCCGAAGAAAGAGAGGCGCCATGTTGTGTTCCCTTGCGATGACAAGAAACCCGACGGTAGCGAAAACCCAACAGCGCTTATTTTACCGTCCTACGTCTTGATTGGGTGATTACGAATTATGCATGCTTCTACCACCGACAATCTTAGACTTATACTTTAGATGAGGAATAATATTAGAGGTTATGTTATATCCTTTCGCGTTTTATGATATAAATATATACATGATTAATCTTTTATTAATTTCATCTCGTTTTATGGTTAGATAAAAATATTCTTATATCAAAAATATTGTGTCTTTCAATTACGTTTAAGAAAATATTATTTGAAATATATAAAAGTGTTTATAAATATATAAATACTATTTTTTAGAATTTTAATCGTAATGACTTTTAATTCCAAATGAATTATATATTAATCGATCATTTACCTTGATCTAATTTATTTATATATAAATAATCATTTGTAGAATGAAAATAATAATGTTAATATGTTTGCAATAATAAAGAATGCAATCAATAATATCAAACGAAAATTGTTTAAAATAAAGTCTCGATAGTTTGATATAAAGAAAAACAAAAAATAAAAAACAAAAAAGAAAGAAGCAATATCGTCAAGTTTGTATCCAGGCAATGATTCAAATAAGGGAAGATTCTATATCGGTCGGATGTTTTGCAAACAAGTGAAGCGCGCGATCGCTCATCAGCTCGATTCTTTCCATGCGGGGGGGACAAGCTCCCGCGGTGCTCGAGCTAATGAAATTATCCGGTTCGAGACCCCCTGCAACGACATCAACGAGCTACGACAGCCAGTTATCCTGTGATTACGCTATACGCAGTTATACACAGACACAAACACGCATACACAACCAGAAGCAAGGAACACTTGTTAGGATATTGCAAACATTTGTACAAAAAATATCCTGTGTACAGTTACATATACAGATACAATTAGGATACTAGTAACATTTTAACACACTCATACACACATATTTACATTTTAAAAAAAACAGTTAAAAATAAAAAGATGAACTTTTTAATAGACCATATTCGTCTTCTTGACACATGGACTAGTAATTATAAAAATGAATCTAACGAGGACATCTTCCTGGTGATATCCTAGGAAATAGTTTCTCCAATGTAAAAGAATTCCTTCCTAGTATATATCGTTAAGATCGAAATCATGAAACTGGTTGGGATGTTGGTAGGGTGTTGGTATAGGAAAGGATGGATAGATAGGAAACAAGAATGAGGAGTGAGATAAATATATTTAATTGGCTCACGTGCCTCGATATTACCTCCTCAACGTTCTTTATAATAAATCGTTCATTGGAAACCATGAAGGATAGATAATTAGAGAAAGATCTTTTCTTCTCTCGAGAAAACTGAGGGATAGATAAAAGATATTACTATACGTAGAGTGTATCTACCATGGAAAAGTAGCAAAGAGTAAAATTTATGGATCCTGCTTGTTATTACAACTACGATGACCAACACCCTACCCTCTACTAGAATCACTGGACACTTCAGCAACCCTATCCCCGATGTCCAGGGCGTGGCAGATTGGTGATTTACTAAAGTCATTTGTGCCGATAATGCTGACAGATGCTATACATTCAGGATCCTGTTACGCGATATACTGAGTCCTTGCAATTTGATACTCTATTTTCTATACCTAACAGAAAAGGGTTAACGCACCTTCCTATTATTTTTTTTTTTCGGTTTCAGAATTATCCTTCAACGATTTGCTCGTTGTTTAATTTAATGTTTATTGTCATTATTATCAATTATGATAAATTATTATTCATGGATAAATTAATTGGTAATAAAACTTACTTGCGTTTGAGTTAGTCCAAGGCTTGCTGCAAGTTCTGCTCTTTCTGGTAATGCCAGGTACTGTGTTCTTTGGAACCTCCTATTCAGCTGCTGAAGTTGCAGACTGCTATAGATGGTCCTCGGCTTTCTCATCTTTTTACCCTTGCCATTCCTCAGTGAACCACCACCACCACCTCCAAGTTCATCTACCAGACTTCCACCCTTGTCGCCCAATGGCGAGAGGTCTGCGAACATGCACCACCCTAACATCAACTTTCAGAATCCTCGTCATTTCTGGTATACGAACTAAAGAGAAACTGAACTAAAAAATTTCATCCCTTTTTCAATTTCTAAATTAATAAACTTAAATGAGATTGTTTGTTTAATATATCATATCGATTAAATATTATTAATTTTTTTTAATAATTTACAATATTATTCACCGATAGTTCCATTTGATTGTATATATATTTCGGATAACTTTCATAATGTTAAATTTGGCACTAATCAATGCACCAATTCAACGTAGATGGCGCGTATTATCTAGGGATATCTAGTAATTAACAAAAGTATATTTCAATATAAAAGAGTGATTCCCCTTTTGAAGTACGACAGAAAAGAAACCGTATTACATTAATAAGAATCATTTTGAAAAACTTTTATTAAATTCCAATGTACGATTAACATAACCTAAAACCTTATAAACAATATATCCAATATATTATCATCGGTTAAATATTATTTGAAAGAATAATTGTTTACACAATATTTAATCGTTCTTTATCAATCAGAAAACGATCGTATGTATTCTGAAAATCATTGATTTATATCTTACAAAATTGATATTAAAAATCATAAAACTATGTCGACAGCTTTAATCTTTGATCGTAAAATCGACAAGCTAATAGTATTATTATTCGTGGTTTGCTTAAGTTCATTGAGATGTCAAGCGCGACAAAACATCGAGTTAACGTCGAGGAGTTACGCGAGAGGTTCGCATACCGAACCTTTCCCCGTGATAATTAGCGCGATTATTAATTAAAGCGTAATTTGCGGTCGCGCGGCCGGACGTAAACGTGGGTTAGAGCAACGATCATCGTGATTTATGACCGGCGCTCGTGTCATTCCCTCCGAAAGGCAAAAGCCCGTATAGTAGTATTGTATATGCCAACGATCATCATAGTTCATTCATCTACTATACTTCACTAGTTTCCATTTTTCTTTCTATTTCTTTTTCCAATCTATTACTATGTTTCTTTTTTTTTTACTTCAATTATTCCATAATTTTTTATTCTCATTATTACACGTTCAATTTTAATACACATCTTTACTTTTCTAATTTAATCAAAATTAACATTCGCCAAATTTGTGCACGATCTGTTTTTATGTTCTTTTTATTAAATATTTTTATAACACGTCGATTATTTTTTATTGTTCCTCTTCAATTATTTGAAATTGTATTTTTATTTAATAAATCTCGTTCCTAGAATTAATAGCAATAAAAAAAAGTTATTGTAACAGGATAAAGTTTCTAATACAAAAGTGGACATTCCTAATATATTTCGTTCGGACATTTTATACATTTTCTTCGAAGTTTCTAACCTCAAAAATGTATACAATGATCTATTATAGAACAATCTGTTCATTCCTTGTACTATTACATTGATTTATTTACGTAATTACAAAACTGAGAGACAGTTATTTTTAAACATTTAAACAACAAATTTACTGATCAACTTAATAAATTATTTTTAAAAGACAAAATGAATGTAATCGTTGTGAAAATCTATAGAAAATAATCTTATTCATTTGTACGTCACACATTAATATATGAAACTTTTTAAAGAATTTGTGTGTATAATTAATTCGTTTCATATATAATAAATAATTTCAATAATAATACAAAATATAATTTATTTAAAAATATGTGTGAACAATAAATATCGTTTTAGATAACAAAATGTACGAACCCACAGATCTTCATTAAAAAAGAAAAGTTTTTAATACAATTTCGAGATTATAGATCGACTAACGAACTATTGAAAGAATAAATGAAACCAATAATAAAAAAAAAGAAAGAAAGATAAAATAAAAAAGGTATATTATTATCGATTACGAGTAAACTCGCGTTAATTAGAAACGGGTTATATGACGAAACCACTGTATCTGTAAAAGTATACGTTCATCATGAGTACGGAAAATCGGTGAGTACCGTTTTAACATCGCCATAGTATTTCCCTTTCCCCTTCCCCTTCCCCCTCCC